TAAAGGCACATCTGCAAAAGGTCATAATCCTGAAGTCTCTATCAATAGGGTACCGTCAGCTCAACCTGACCCACTGTGGCTGTTTCACAGACAGGCCATTTAGAATTGGTACCCACATGATCGCTGCACATTGTCATCCCAGCCAGGCCTTGGCCAGCCTTGAAAGCACCCTCCCTGCAGAGAGTCAGCAGGTCAAATCACTGAGAGCTTTGGAACAACCAGGCCCTTGTTTCCCCACTGATAAGCCATCCTGCCCAACACAGTCCGAGCAGATCGAGGATTAGCAGAATCCAACAGCTGCCCCACCTCCTGAGGTGGAAGAGGGGACAGACAAAGAGTGAGGAGGCCCCAGGTGCCATCAGAGGCTGCCTCCCGGATGTGCCCCTTCCTGACCTTGCAGTTGGGTTCATTGTTTGGGTCCAGAGAACCATGAGAGGCATCAAAATCAAAGCCACACCTGCCAACAGGTGGCACAAATTTCACCCAAAAGATGATTCAATTCCCCTCAAATATCCAAGAAAAATAAGACCCAAGACAGTTGGGTTTTGTCTCCTACTTGTTATCATATACAAACTCCAGTTTTGCCCTGTGAGGAAAGGTCAACTGTCATTTGATGCAAAGGTCTATGCATCTGACATTTCAGAAATGCCCAAAACGGGACCGTTGGCAGATGGAACTGTAGCTGAGGTCGACAGTAGGGGATCCCCAGTGGGGCTGGAGGGAGCCCACAGCCTGGGGCGGGCAGGGACCCAGCCCGATGCCCGGCCTGCAGGTAGCCGACCACCAAGCGTAAGCAGGCATTCACCACCCCCTTAGGCCAAATCCGCCCCTCTCCACACTCCTGCTTTGTGAGCTGTGATTCCGCCAAACGGCACAACAGCACGTGGACAATATAGAGCACAATCACAAACCTCCCGCGGTAGGAACCCAGATGATGACGGGCCTTCTCCTGGTATAGAAGGAGAAGAGTTCTAGAACGTGGGGAGCCATTCAAGGAGATAACAGGTGAGAAGGGGCCTGGCGTAGACATTGGAATTTCTTGAACACGAATGAGAACCTCAGCAGCCTGCTGATGACACCCAGGTCTCATTCCAGGGACAGAGAAAGGGCTAAGCCAATTATGTAAATCCCGGGCTGAACACCCTCCACCCTGCACTCACCCTAAAACAAAATCCAAACTCGGCCATGGTGCGACCCTCTGGGCGCATCTGGTCGCAGGTAACAGAAACCAGGTGTTGGCTGTTTCCCCCGGGGTGTCCGGCGTAGACCAGCCCCGAGCTGGAACCATCTGGGTTCAACACGGCCCTTCCCACCCCTCCACAACCCTCTGGGGGCGTCTCCTCGGCCTGCAGCTGAGCTCCTGCCCTGACACCCCTGCAACTAGTCAAGCTCTTGCCCACTTCAGGTTCTTTGTAGTTTCCAGTCGCCCCAAATCCAGTGCTCGCGCCCAGGTCTTCGCACACCTGGATCCTTCGTGTCAGCCACATCTGGGATAAAACCTGACTGAGCACGGTTGTGCATGAACATCTGTACAAAAGGACACCATGCCCTCCCTCCCTCAGTGTCCTCACCTGAAAACGAGGGTGCAGAACGGACGAGAAGGGTAGTTCTCAAGTTTCAGCCAACCTCCCTGCACCTCAGCCCTCACTTATGAAAGCAGAACCTGGGAGTGGGGGAAGAGAGGAACCAAAATTAAAACTTTTGACGCCCCTCCCAGGTGATAGTGATGTCCACAGGCACATCCAGATTCTTCTGAACTCGGAAGGGATGAAAGGGCAGGGCCGGGCCCATGGCTGCCATGGGACTCTCCAGAGAACCTTCCAGATGCTCCACCCAAACCCAGCTAGGGCAGCTCCCAGCAGCAGCTTCTTTTCCCTGACAGCCTGGCCCCCGCTCTTCACCCCCTTCTGGGAAGGCAGAGGGAGCCTCGCCGTCTCCCACGGGCCATCAGCGACCCTGGGGCTGGAGCCGTGTGGGTGGCAGGCACTGTTCTGCCGCCATCCTAGGACAGTGCCGGGCATGACGCACGCTTGTGGGGATAAAGCAATGAACAAGAGCTCACAGGGCCTTCACTGTGGGACTTTTCAGAGCCCACAATGAGCTAAAAGCCTCAGAGAATCTCCAGGAGGGGCTCACGGAGCCGCCTTGCCCAGCTCAGTCAGGGGACAGCAGCCAGGACACGGATGCCACAGGGATCAGGGGGACGGGAGAGCGGTTAGTGCTATTAGTAGATGAAGGCACAAGAATGTCCTGCATCTGGGGGCTGATTAAACCCAACGGACAGGGACTGCCTCATCGAGTCAGTCCAGGCACATCTGAACGGAATTCGCCGCGAGGACTCGTTCCTTAGGTTTCTACTTTCTGCCACCGTCTGTGCTGGGCTCTTTATCTGCTGCCTCCTTGCTTCCCAGCAACCTCTTCCCAGGGGACGTGCAGCCCCAACGCACCAAGGCCCCCCCAACGCAGGGCCTGCGGCCACTTTCTCTCCCGGGGATGTCTGTCTGCAGGCTGGTCGCAGATCACCTACAGGACGCCTGCTCAGCCTTCAGACGTCAGCTCTCGCGCCACCTCCCAAGGGAAGCCCGCCCAGATCGCCCCTGTTCTCTCACAGGACTGAGCTCCTTTCCCTCACGATGCGCCCTTTTGCACGGCCCCTCAACACATAATGATGGACACAGGATTAATTACTTCGTGACTGTCTGTCCTCACAAACGTGGAAGCTTCCCTCATCCGGGAACTGAGTGGGGTCCTGCCAACTCCAGTGTCTGCAGCACCTGTCACAGAGCCTGGCACATTTGTGAAGAAATAAATGATCGAGGGCAGTGGAGGCTCAGAGAGGTTAAGTGACTCCCAAAGGTCACACAGCTGTCAAGTGGCCCAACCAAGATCTGAACCCAGAACTTCCTGACACCTGTGGTCAAGGTCGGCTGCTCTGCTGCTCATGGGCTGAAGACAGTAGGTGCTCACTCAGCGGCAGCTGCTGTCTATGCCCAGAGCACCGCACAGGCACCAGCAAGGGCTCTCCCAGGGTGGGTGCCTCCCGGCCTTGCAGACCCCTGTGCTCTGCGGCTCACCAGCTCCCCTAAGCCTCCAGACAAAGGAAGGGTTGACATGAGCAGGAACAGAAACCTGGCCGGCCTGCCCCTGGCCAAGGTTCTCCGAGCACTCTGCACGCCTTTCAGGAAGACACCGGCTGATGCTCTCACAATGAGCAGGTGCTGATCTTGGCAGGCAGCCTGGGTCACGCCACCCTTATCAGCACACTCGGATCGTGTTCCTTCGTGTCTGACGACTATACCGACAAACACGGATCTATAAAATCGGGGTGCAGTCTTGTCCTCAGCAGCTCAGAGGCAAGAACAGGAAGAGAAGCAGTTTCCGAAAACTTCCACCCATCCGTGCCAGGCAAGGTAAGAACTCGCTGCAAAGCAGAAGGTGGGAGTCTGAGGTGGGAACAAGCATGGGACAGTTCATCTAGGACAGATGACTAGGTTGATGCATTTCAAATCGCTTTAGCAATGTCCTTCCCTGCTAAAATGAACAGCTGTGCCCAACACTCTGCCTAGCACGGGGACGGTGGTTGACAACTGCCGATTAGGTGACTGCTTTTCAGAGAATGGGAAATTTATTCCTGGGAGTCCCAAAGGGTTTCATGCAATGGAAAGTCCAACAACATTGCCATCAACTCAGTCACATGCACAGAAAGGTTTTTTATTCCTAAAAGCATGCCTACATGTTGTGTGAGATACTGCGGTCGAATTTCTAACAGATGAGGGTACGATTTTAAAAACTGATGAAAACGTGTTGAGTTTTCTTCATTAAGGCCAATTTATTCAAGGTGAAGAACTGTTGCTGCCTTCAGATTATGTCCTTCCCTACATTTCTGCCAGAGCCACTCTTTTTTAGGGTGTTGGCAAATGGCAGAGGGCTTGCTTTTGTTCCCAATTCTGCATGGCAAGAGCGAAGACCCACCACGACATTTTAACAAAATGGGACAGTGAGGCAAAGGGTGAGGAACTCCAAACGGGGTCACCTTGCGCCACCTTGCACTAAACGTTAGAGACGCACTTGGGACTCATAGCAACAGAGGAATGTGAGGTGGGAGGTGGGGCATGGTCTCCAAAAGTCACCCAGCACAGCTCCGACTCAGACGGGGGTCTCTTGAATGGGTGTGAGCCCAGCTGTCCCTGCCCCCGCTGAGGCTCAGAATGGGGACCAGATTCGCTGGGAAGGTTATATAGACGTTGCAGGAAGAGTACTTAGCACACTGACCAGTACAAACGTAGGGTCCACTGGGCAGATATTTAGAGACATTTCTCAGTGAAAAGAGAGGGACTTGAGATTGCACTTACATAATTTAAAACTCTCCAGTTCCCCACTCAGTGACTAAGAGGGCTCTGAGGACATGAGACTGAGGAAAATGGCATGAGAACGCTTGCCCCAAGAGGTAAAGCCACTGAGGAGGTCGTGGCCTGTACTCAAATGCTATGACCAGCTGCCACAGCACGTTCAGGCAAAGTTAAAGGGAACTAGAGGCCAGGTGCAGTGGCTCACGCCTGTAATCTTAGCACTCTGGGAGGCCGAGGCTGAAGGATTGCTCAAGGGCAGGAGTTTGAAACCAGCCTGAGCAAGAGCAAGACTCTATCTCTACAATAAATAGAAAGAAATTAATTGGCCAACTAAAAATATATAGAAAAAATTAGCTGGGCATGGTGGCGCATGTCTGTAGTCCCAGCTACTTGGGAGGCTGAGGCAGAAGGATTGCTTGAGCCCAGGAGTTTGAGGGTGCTGTGAGCTAGGCTGACGCCATGGCACTCTAGCCCGGGCAAAGAATGAGACTCTGTCTCAGAGAAAAAAAAAAGAAACTGCCTGCCACTTACTAGAACATAGCCCCACGCACACCAGGCACAGACTAGAATGTGTACTGTGGGAATGGCGCCTCCCACAAGAGCCAGGACCCACGTACGTGTCCATCCTGCACAAATGTGCATGGCGGGACCATGGCCCACTGGGAAGGAGGTACCTGAAGAAGTCCTCCTTTGCAGGAATCAGCCACCAAGATGCTGCCTCTCTGGGCCCTGGCTGTCGTGGTGGCCATCCAGGCACAAAACCTGCCGACACCACTGCTGGAAAATCTTCCTGTCCCAGTACCCTCTGGGCCTCTCTCCAACACTCTCTCACTGGTTGTGCCCCGTGAACCACGCCACAGAAGCCCGCCACTCCCCAGAGTCCCTCCACCCAGAAATAGTCCAGCGGTGACCAAAGGACGCAAGTGCTCACCCGTGGCCAAACACTTCATCTCAGACGGCAAACTCGAGGACCGTAAGTAACGGCCCTTTCCCCACACACCTCTGCTCCTTCCCACCCCACACACAGGCTTCTCATGTCTGAGCCCAGAGGGTTGCTTCTGCCTTCTGAGCGAGGGGGTCTCGAACCTGAGGAGGCGCTGGGATCTCCTTAGGAGCCTCTAAGCAGAGCAGCCCCGGGGGCTGCACTCCCCGCGCTGCTGCCGTGGGCCGACCGCCTGATGCCCCCATCAGCTCCGGGACACTCCTGAGGCTGCTCCTCCGGGTGTACACATGGGCCAGGACTGGTCCACGCAGCCCTGGAAAAGGGACCTGTTGGACCAGCAAACTGGCTGATACCTGCCTTCAGGGGCCTCTTCCCACCTGGAGGCTGTGCCCAGACACCCCCAGCCCCCACACTGGGCTCCAGGGCTCACCCAGCCGCCCACGGGTGTTTAAACTTCAACCTGCTGTACCAGCAGCCAGGAAATGAGAAATCTGGGTGCTACCGCCAAACCCCTAGACCAGACTTGCTCTCTCCAGAGTCCCTTTCACTTCCTTCCTGAGTCTCGCCTTCCTCCGCTAGGGAGTGAGGAATCGAACCCTACAAAACCCCAGACGCTGAGAGCAGAGCAGCTGGGGAAGCTGAGGCTGGGCAAAGAAGTGCCTCCTACTTGAGGGACAGGAAAGGAGGGGACCTACTGGCAAATGAAGCCAGCAGGAAAGCCCTTGGGGGTCTCTTAGCAGCCCCCCACCCATCTGAGGCCAGGGCCTAAGTCAGCCTTTCAGGATAAGGGCACAAGGCCACCCAGGAAGACTTGGCACCTGCTGAGTGACCACAGGGCCAGCCCCACAGCTCCAGGTAGATGCTCTGCCTGTGAAGGAATACGTGCTCTGCTCTTCCCAGCATCCTTCCTCACTGCCAAATGCTTCAAATATAGGTGAGAGTCCAGCTATGTACCCATCACACAGCGATTTGGTGGCGGCAGTAGTTTACTTTCAGACTTAAAAACATTAAAAGGTAAATATAGCAAACACCTACATACCCTCTGCCTAGATTAAGGAATAAAGCCAGCCCTGGGGCTGGAGGCCCTGGGGACCCCTGCTAGGCCCCATAGCCCACCCGCCCTCCCCTACAAAGCAGGCCTCTAGCCCTGCTGTTTCCATAGCAATTTCTTTACATTTTATGACATGTAAAAATTCCCTCGCAATGAAAAACATGGCACTCCATGCCATAAAGTTCCCAGAATAGGGCACGCACTCCTCCAACCCCAATCTTACAGTCAAGAGTGGGTCTGACAACACTGAACGAGGAAGTCTGCCCGTTCCTTGCAGTGCTCGATTGTTATTAGGTGACTCCTCAATTAGTGAGTCTGTTGCATCTAATGTTCCCAGTTTTGTGCTACTCCAAGCCAGGCTGCTCAGAACTCTCCTGTGGGTCTCCTGCTGCACAAGTGCAAGAGACCCCCCCACGCCCCAGCGCAAGCCTGGGAATGGGCTGTGTCCACATCACCCCACACAGGCAAAGACTCTCCACAATGCGGGGGCCCACGTGGGGAGCTGCCTCTGGCCGAATCAGCTGGGCAGCCACAGCAGGAATGTGTCTCTCCACGCTTTTCAGATTTGGCCACCATCCTGCCGCCACAGATTGAGAAGATGCTGAAGAGTAAGAAGGTTGACCTGGCCGGTTTGCTTGGGAACTTGATAGCCACAGTGAGCGACTCTGGCCTCCTGTCCCTTTTAAACATCACGTCATCCCTAGATATACTTGGAGGTGGTGGCCTTGGTAGCATCCTAAGCCCGGGAAGTGGCAAGTCCCCGCAGCTCCCACTGCTCTCAGAAGCCACTGGTGCTGTCGGTGATCTGCTGCCCCTGGGCCAAGACGGACTGGGTAGCCTATTACCCATCGGCGCAGACAAGAACCCCGAAAAAGGACTCCTCCCGAACCCCGTAAAAGGACTGCTCGACGGTGCTGGTCTCTCTGGCCTCCAGCAGCCCCTCAATGACGTGGTCGACAAAGTAGGCCAGCTCAAGGACTCCACCCAGGACGTGCTCAGCGGCACCCTGCAGTCAGACATTACCAAGAAGCTCACGGGCCTGCTGGGAGACATTAACGTGGAAGAACTCTTGCTGGGGTAAGTGCTTCCTTGACCCCAACGCTCCTGGCGCCAGAAGCCAGCTCATTTGGCACTCAGGCTCAGCCTCCAACATCCCAATGAAAGGGACAACCACGTTGTCACTGAGCAACACATTCGCTCCGTGCTGCAAACTGTGCCCTTTCCAGGGAAATGGGTTCTGGGTTTCCTGAGCGCAGAGAACTGGGCTGGTGCGGGGGCCGGGGGTTCTAGGGACTGGATGTGGATTGGGGGGCTGTTAACTGGTTGCTTCTGAGGTATCCTCCTGCTGGTTCCTTGAGCCAGGACTCACTCTAGATGCTGTCACTTTGCAGATTGGAGGTTCAAAAGGTGACTGTGAAGGACATGAAGTCGACTGTGGCAGGGGATGGGATCCACACGCACGTCACGACTACCGCCTCCGTGGGTGGAAAAGGGTGAGCCTGTTCCCACAGCAGTCCGCTGGGTCACCAGGCCCAGAGGTGTAAGTGCCAGTGTCCCAGGGCAGGGTGGAGACAATGGTGAGGACAGCAGCAAGGGTGAGGACGGGACAAACTGGGCACTAGACACACCGGCCCTTCCCCCAGCTAAAGGGCAGGCAGGATAATGGCCCACGGAGCCCCGTCCTCCAGTAGGATAGGCAAAGATTTCCATGGGACACCTGCACAAGCCCACGCTTGGGCACTGGAGAGACCATCCAAGGGGAACACATCAAATGGTGACACCTTGCATGTTCCTAAGGCCAGGGGACTTCCCAAATAATGTCGACTCTCCATAGAGAATCAGCCCACTCAGTATAAACACGGTCCTATCAGATGGGGGAAACAGAGCTAATTAACACGTCCTCAGGGAGCTGCAGGGTATTGTAAATGCATGCACGCATCCACCCAATGTGTAGGTCAGAAACACCCCTCTGGGACAGACGCTTGCTGGGTACAAAGACATGCTGTCCTCAGTCAGGATGAGCCTGGGGAGAGGAATGTGTTCACAGCATAGGCTCAGGGCACCCAGGAAGACGTCAGAGTCACAGGGCACCCCACTGGGTAGATGATGGCTTTGTGGACCTAGACACTCAGTACTGATACCTCTCACTGCCCTAGCAACTACTTGTCTATGAACCTTCTTGTCTATGAACTCCTTGGAACCTCTCTACAACCTTACCGGAAGGGCAGTGCTATTTCCAGACTGGAACACCAGTTTAGACTGGCAAAAGCGGTTGCAAACCTTGCTCAGAGTCACACAGCTAAAATATGGCACTGACAGCGAGGGTTTTAACCCAGGCAGTCTGGCTCCAGGGACAGTGTCTGTGACTACTACAGTTAGCAGGACCAAGAAGAGCCATTCTTCTGATCCAGAACATCTCATGTTAGGTCAGTGGTGGGTTTTTCTTATGCTGTTGCCCTCACGACAGAAAGTCGGGGTGCTGGGCACAAAAGTGGACGCATGATGGACTCCTTCCGTACAAGTTGGCCTTGTGCCAACACTACCACACAACCTCCGAGAAGCTGGTTAGGAACATGATTTTCTCTCTCTCTCTTTTTTTTTCCTTTCTTTTTTTGGAGACAGGGTCTTGCTCTGACTCCAGGGCTAGCATGCAGTTGTGTCATCATAGCTCATTGCAACCTCCAATTCCTGGACTCAAGTGTTCGTCCAGCCTCAACCTCCCAAAGTGCCAGGATCACAGGCATGAGCCACCACGCCTTCCCAATTTTGTCAAATGGTGCTTGACTCCTCTGTACCCTGGGTGTAGGGTTCAGCCAGCCTTGGGCACATTGCCTGGAAAGCAACAAACATCTCCCCTCCTCCATGAGCCTTGACAAATACCTGAGGGTCATTCCAACATCGAGTATCACTGGGCCTTAGTAACACCTGGCAGCCAGGCCTGCCTTCATCCGCGTCTTGCTCTCCACAGCCTAACTGGACCCGTAATCAGCCTAGTGGGATTTGAAGTCCACGGGGATGTGACTCTGAAAATTGGCGCTTCCACAAACAGCACCCACTGCATCAAACTCCAGGTCCTGGAAAAAACCATCAATGCCAACAAAGTGACCCTTCAGCTAATGAAGACGTACGTGAGACCATTTGTTTCATTTCCTGGATCAACTGGCCTCAGTGCCAGCATGTTCCCCCTGGTACTACCCTTGGGCATGAGCTTCTCCAACGCAATGGTTTCAAGGATCAGTAAACAGAGGCCCACACAGGGTCTCTGCTGAGGAACGGCCCACTGTGGTAGACTAGCCTTTTCTTACAATCGCCAACAAGTGCCTGCCAACTGCACTTTCAGTAATTCCTTTCCATTCTGCATGAGCATTACACTTACCTGGATTAACATCCAAAGACACATATGGGCAGACAGTGCAAAGTCTCTCTCTAACCTGGAAACACTAGCTGGTTAACTGCCCTCTCTAGAAGCAACCAACAAATCCAGTCTCTTGTGTTTGCTCTCAGAGGTGCTATTTGCCACATGCAAGTAAATGTGCATGCATATGGAAACACACAGAAAGGGGCAAATGTTACATACATCTTTCTGCACTTTTGTGTTTTATATAAAAAATTCCTGGGAACCTCTATCATCTGGGTATAAACAGCTGCTTCATTTTTCATGTCTCCTTCGTATTCCCTGATGAAGAGACACTATATTTAACCACTCCCTATTCAAAGAATATTTGATTACTTCCAGTTATTAACTTTTTTTTTTTTTTTTTGAGACAGAGTCTCACTTTGTTGCCAGGCTAGAGTAAGTGCCGTGGCATCAGCCTAGCTCACAGCAACCTCAAACTCCTGGGCTCGAGTGATCCTCCTGCCTCAGCCTCCCGAGTAGCTGGGACTACAGGCATGCACCACCATGCCCGGCTAATTTTTTCTATATATATTAGTTTGCCAATTAATTTATTTTTTATTTATAGTAGAGATGAGGTCTCGCTCTTGCTCAGGCTGGTTTCGAACTCCTGACCTTGAGCAATCCACCCGCCTCAGCCTCCCAGAGTGCTAGGATTACAGGCGTGAGCCACCACGCCCGGCCAGTTATTAACTTTTGAACACAATTGCAAAAATAAGGTCACAGAGGAGTCTGTCCACCAGTGGCCACTAAAGGATAAGATACTCTAGGTGGGCCTGAGAGGCAGACGTCAGGTGCTATGGCCGTGTTGCCAGGAATCCTTGAATCTTCCCTAAGGACGAGGGCTGAGGGTGGAAGGGCCAGGGCGTGGGCACAGATTAAGCACAGGACGTCACCGCTGCTGTTTCACCGATGGGGGTTTCCTCCTGCATCTGGGCAAACCCACAAACACCGGACTCACCAGCTTCTCCATGGGCTTCTTTCCCAGGCTCACAGGTGCTTTGCCTCTCCCCCTCCCTATGCCGCTGCCCTTGGATGACATCATTCCTCAACTGTTGACAGTAAATATGAATGAGAACGTAAGTCCTGGGGAAGGGGAGGGCCCCCTCAGTGGGCAAGACAGAGAGGAGCCCCTCCCCCAGATAAGGTCTGATGCCAGGGGAGACTCTGGGACGAGACATCAGGCCCTCAGGAGGCCCGAGACTGGGGGACCAGCAGACCCCTGGCCAAAAAGAGCCCACCAGCAGCACTGGGACAGATGACTTCTGCCAAAAAGGAGGCCCTACCCACCCTCCCCAAATAAAGGACAGGGAAAAGGGGAGAAAGAAAAGAGGAGACAGGCTGATGGTCCACCCTTAGCAATGCTAACTGGTGGTGACTTCACAGACTGAAGAACCAGACGCCTCTGACATCATTCTCAGTGATGGCAGCGAATGCAAGAACTGTGAGTACCAACGCTTCCCCTCCGTGGGCCTGTCTGGGCCCGTGGGGAGAGATGGCCGAGACTCCTGAGGGTGACACACAGAAGATGGGGCTGAGATGCGCCACCACGCAGCTCTCAGCACCCAAACAGCCTCTCCTCAGCACCTTCTGGGCAGGAAACGCCCCAGGTCACCTGACTCTCAGTACCACTTTGGCTTAGTCCCCGGGAAGGAAACAGGACAAAACCCCTTGGGGTCTGCCCTGGAGCTCCCCACACCCAGATGACTTGCCAGGGGCACACACGCAAGGAGTCTGCGCCGCCAGCAGCCCCGGCCTTCACCCTGGGAGGCTGAGAACCAGAAATCCCTCGATGTCCCCAGATACATGCAGAGAGACAGGGATACTGGACATGGTGGGTCAGTGGCCACCAGAGAGCTGAAGCAGGAAATCAGTGACATGTGACAAGTTCAGAGTAGATGATACACGGGCCCACCCAGCCAGCCTCTTCCTCCTTGGAGATTTTGGCACATCACAGAAGGTGCTGAGTCCCCATGCCGGCTCCCTCCTCGCAGCCTGCGTCCACATGGGTGAGGAGGAGCCAGGGAGGGCACCGGCTTTCTGCTTGGGACAGAGACAGCAGGAGGGGTCCACCCTGGTCTCCACGGGGAGGGTGGCGGCCAGCACACAGCACGGCATCCAGCCACCGTCAGCGGTTTGCTGGGGTCTCTCCATTGCCTCTCTCTCCTCTCCCTACAGCCACCGGCTTGTTCACGTACACCATTAAAAGTTCCAGATTGTCCACAGAAGGTCTTTCCACCCTCTACTGCGTAAGTGCCCTTTGTCCTTACTGTGGCTTCTGCAAGAAGGCTGGAGAAATCCCCGACCTCACCATACATATTTGAGGGACATGACAATCCAGCCTTAATGGCTCTGGGATCCCCGACTTCACCCTGGGGTGAATCCCCCATGCTTAGTGCCTACCCGGGGTCTGCTATGTGTTCCATCCTTTGAAGTCCAATGGACGATGCCCGAGGGGCATCCCACAGTGACAACCATTTCCTGATCCTTAGCATCAGCCCAGCACAGGTCTAGATGCTCAGTGGACAACACAGGAGAAAACAAACCCTGCCCGCGATCCCCGCCCACCCCTCCCACTCATGGGGAAGGCAAAACTAGGCCACAAACGTTGCCAGAGACAGGCAGGCAGGGTTTTAGACTCAACTCCACTTCTGGGAGTTCATCCAAAACACACCACGGAAGTACAGAGATATTTAGGCACAAAGAAATACAAGTATTAATGATGGGGATAGAAAAAACTGATATGAACAAAAAGGAAATAATTAAGCCAAGTATGAGACCATTAGAAATGCTGACAACGTTTGTAATGGTATATGGAAATGCTCGGGAAACTATTATTAATTTTTGAACAGCAAAGTTAAATGCAAATGAGGTATGCTAATAATGACGTGCAAAAACCTCAGTCCTAGGAGGCAAAAGTCTTTTCCCTCACTCTTCCTCCTTCCCCGAACTTTCCAACCTTTTCCTGCCATGTGGATTTTACATTTCATAAGAAGAGGGAAAATGCAAATGAAAGGAAAAAAATAATTAACGGAGGCTAGAATATCTGTAAATGATTTCAAGAAAAGATGGGCTCTGGAGTGTGGGAAGGAAGGAGGGCAGGCACTCCAGGCTGAGAGAACACGCAGGGAAGGTAAGGAATGTGACCGTTGTGCAGATGTGTCACATGCACACCATACTGCAAGCCGCACGTCCATGGGGGATTCACCTGGAGCAGAGGCCTGGGCGCCCTGGGCTGCACTGCAGCTGCGCAGTGGCCCCTCCTGCACCCCGGCCCTGCCCTCTAGGCACCACACGCCCCAGCACTCCCCACAGTGCCCCACCACAGAGGCCAGGGAGGTTAACTGCCAGGTGACCCCATGCTCCTCCCTAGGCAGTGCCCACCTGGGGCCACCTTCCTCGTCAGGCCTCCAAAGGCATAAAAATTGGTATGAGTCCCACGTGATGACAGGGACTTTTCTGTTTTTCTCATTCCAGGCCGAAGCCCACTTCAACAAAAAGACAGTCCCTGTGACTGGAAGTCAGCTCCCTCAAGATGCCAAAAATGCCAACGCTTCCCTAACTCTGTCCCACACGATGCTCAAGACGATTGTCACTTTCGCTGCGAGGCAGAGCTCCCTCAAGGTAAGTGTCACCCACAGGGCCCCTGGCACTGCCCTGCTCTTTGCTTACACCGAGACTGTCAACCTCTGAGAGCGAGTAGGTGGCAATGAAAGTGGGTTCTGCAGGTCCTTCCAGAGGTAAATACACGACTGCCACTGGATCCACATTGTCACTTCATCTTATGAGCGGGCCCTGGATTGTGTCAGCGGAAAGCAGAGGGTAGGGACATGGGATGGCAAACGTGCTCAGAGTGCTGTGTGCCAGGGACAGAGCTGGGTGTTTTCACATAGTTAATGTCATTTCATCCTCAAACAGCACTAGGATGTAGGTGTCTGTGTCCCCATCTCACAGATGACCAAGGTGAGAAAAAGAAGCTGCCAACAGTCACAGATCAAACAAGGGTGGTGGGTTATCTCTACCATATTTCCCCGAAAATAAGACCTACCCATAAATAAGCCTTAGTAGGATTTCTAAGCATTTGCACAATATAAGACCTACCCCAAAAGTAAGATCTAGTCATGGGCGTGGCTATGGAGCGTATCTGCACAACCCATGCATTTCGTCCCAGAGCAGTAAAAACGACGAGCAGCCCTTCCCATCTGCCCCATGAGGGCTCTATTGCTCAACATGAGAGATTGGGGCCAAAGGTTCTAAAGAAAATTGAGTCTCAAGAAATTCAGGATGAAATTCAGGGTTTGGAGAGTTATGATGACATTCCAGAAGAAGACGACTTAACTACATTTGAATAAATGTAGATTGTTCTGCCATACTAAAAAAAAAAATAACACATCCCCTGAAAATAAGCGACAGGATGTCTTCTTGAGGAAAAATAAATATAAGACCCTGTCTTATTTTCAGGGAAACACGGTGTCTGTGAGGTATTAATTTGCCCTAGAAGTGGTAGAAGAAATAATGCAATAGTCACCGCAGCAGCAGTAGACTACTTTCTGCATGTGAGGTTCTGTTTGAAACAACCGACAGTGTATCTTTAAGAAGGTCACACAACGATCTAGCACAGAGCTGCCTTGCCACAAGAGCACAAAGAACAACAGGCTTCAAATGAGGCCCTTAGAAAAGTAAAATTGTACACGTTGCATGGCCACCATACTTCCAGGAAAGGAAACCGCACTGAGGAAATTGTTTGGAAATAGACCTTGTCTGTCGTGATCACATCAGCTGCACCAGCACCCACCTAGGGACCGACTGACACTAGAGGACCAATAGAGATTTGAATGGAGGATGTGAACCATGCATGAGAGTCTCACTCTGCAACATTTGCAGTTCTTCCTCTTCTCCCTCTAAATGGCAACTTCTTTCCAACAGAGAAGTAACCTGGACGCAAGCATCACCAAAATCGTCTACTCCCTCCAGCCCAGCAATGAAGTTCAAGCCACCTACTGGGTTAACATAAGAAAGAACGATGAGAGCTTTGCCACAGGGCAAACGGTGAGTGCTGAGAAATGCATCCCAACTGAGTGGCGAGGAGGAATAGCAAGAGCAGTGTTCAGGGTGATGGGCCCCTACCTAGACCCTGAGGTCCGCAGTGTCTGGGTGTCCCCAGGATGAAGGAGACCAGCCAGTCTGGTGGGCTCAGCCCCCAAGGGGAGAAGGGACTAAGCAGGTTGGCTTGGGAGGAGAAGGACGGGCACGCTTCCCCTGGTCCTGATATGGGACCCTGTTGGCCATCTCACCGGTTGACAAGTTCGCTGAGTAGCCAGATCAAGGCGTTATTTTTAACTCATGCTTGTTTTGCATTCATTCAGAGCTTAATCATCTCACATGTGGGCAAGATTTCAAAAGACAAACTGCTAGCAGACATCAAACTTGTGAGGTACTGTCTATAACTACATAATCCCCAGTCAACACTAAGAGACAATAAATATCAAGCCCGTTACAATTCCTGTGAGCACAGTAATGCATACGGCTCTGGGGAATTACCTGGATAATTACGGGGAAATCAGAAAGGAGTTTTAAACTCCCATGAAATAATTCATCTTACATTTGCCCTTTCTACCAAGTAGTTTCCAACTTATAAATGACTTTCTTTATGAAGCAACTAGCCTCATACTTAAACTCTACGCTTACATTGTGCTTATAAGAACCTAATATTTCTCTGTGCTTTGTTTCCTGACAGCTCGGAACACAGTGTGACACCCCCTGAAGCCGTAAGTTGATTAGCTTTCCAATATATGTATCTGTGATGTGTGAGAAAAAAATGTAATGCCAGCCACTGAGTATGACGGAGCCCGTGGAAAGGAAAAGGCGAGGAGACAGGTCCTCAGACAAGGCAGACCAGGCCCCTGGGCTCCACACCCAGCCTCTCGGGGAGCTCTTCAAACACAGCCACCCAGGCCCATGTGCTGCTCCACATTAAGCCACGGACCTGAGAAGGGCCTGGCATCCGTGCCTTCGTGGTGTCCTGGGTGGTCTGGTACACCACAAGCCTCGGGGTCCACTGGAAGGATGAAAACGAGATCTAGATTGTTAGGGTGGAAAGGCCAGTATGTGCTCACGGCACAGGCGGAGAGAGATTTCTCACGCAGAGGTTAAGATATATAAAAGTAGCTGGGTGTAGTGGCTCACGCCTGTCATCCAAGCACTCTGGAAGGCCAAGGCGGGAGGATCATTTGAGCTCAGGAGTTTGAGACCAGCCTGAGCAAGAGCGAGACCCTGTCTCTACTAAAAATCGAAAGAAATTAGCTGGACAAGTAAAAATATATAGAAAAAATTCGCCAGGCATGGTGGCACATGCCTGTAGTCCCAGCTACTCGGGAGGCTCAGGCAGCAGGATCGCATGAGCTCAGGAGTTGGAGGTTACTGTGAGCCAGGCTGACCCCACGGCACTCTAGCCCTGGGAACAAAGTGAGACTCTCTCTCAAAAAAAAAGATATACAAAAGAAAAAAGTTTACTTGATCCTTTCAGAGGAGGGAGAGATAAGGAGAGAGAGAGAGGGAGAAGGGAAAGCAGGGAGAAGAGAGCAGAGAGATGGTGGGGCATCCCAAAGCAATAGAACGGGGTGCCAGCATTGAGGCCAAGTGGCTGGCTGCTTTTATGGGGACAAAGAGAAAAAATAGTGATGGCTGTCAGTTGATAACAAAAGAGGCAATAGGTAGATAACAAAAATTTCAAGGATGTCAAAGTCCAAGACTTGGTTTCTTGCCTTTCCTTAGAGAAGGGATTATCACAGGAGATGCGACTCTGTCCATGAGATGTGGTTTGAGCTCCTTCTGCTGTAGCTCCTTCTGCTGTTTACTCAGGAACTCTGTAAAAGCAGATTCTCAACAAACCATTTTGAAAGAGAGAGAGTTACATCTCTTTTCCATGCGTTCAGCTTTTTCAGAAGTTGCGCAAAACAGAACTCCTGCAGGGTACCTATTAGTGAGACAACTCACAGCATGGATCTTTAACAGTTCCTGGGGAAACTGTAGGACTAGGTATTGTCCTGTTACTTTTGCAAGGCCACCCCTTTCATTGGCTCACATCCGACATGGCTCACAGGAGTTTCTTAGAAACATCACCAGCTTCCCATAACATCAGCTCTCCTCTCCTGTCATTGGTTTTCAACCCATGTTCTACACGGAGTGAGCACATGGATTGCCCCAGGAGAGTGAAGGGAGAGCCCAGTGGCCAGGCTCCAGCATCAGTGACAGAAACTGATGAAACGTTCACCAACCAGCTCCATGGTTAAGATATTTGGTCTTGAGCATGTTCAGACCTTAAATCAGCAAATTTTACAGAGCTCCTCCTATGTGCCTGGCCCTGCAAATGCATCATGAGGTAGTAGCGAGGTGTCTAATGCCAGGAACTGGCATTCTGGTGTGTGGGACAAATGGGGACATATAAACACATAAAAAATAGGCAAAAATGGTGAGGAGTCTGGGAACAGCACGGTGCATTGAGGCACATAGTGGATACCCAGAGGGGAAAAACCTTACAACTTTACAACCTAAGGGTTTAGAACTTGGGTCCCATGTATCAGCCCTGAGAAAACGGGGAGTTGGCCCAGAGGCAGACTCTGCAGATCCTCACGAGCCCAGGGTTCCCGTCCTCTCGAATTTACGAGGCAGCTACGTGATATGCCAGGCTCTGTGCCCAGGGCAAACAACTTAGAAGGCATGATCCCTGACCTCCTATAACTGCCCACCTGACAGGGGACAGACACCTTTATGCAAATAGTTGTCAATTGAGCAAGAAGAAGACTGAGTAGAGAGAGCACCAAGTGGGAGACAGACAGTGGGCTTACTGAAAACATAACACCTGAACTCAGCCTTGAAAGAGGAGTAGGAGTTTATCACACAAAACAGAGTATGTCCCAAAAGAGGGAACCAAGTGGCCAAAGGGTAGGCAGCATGGACTCCTAGGCCTGCTGGGGAGGGACATGCAGGCAGAGGGAAGTAAACAGACCACCAACAGGGAGGACAAGATCTGGGAGAGCCCACCCCCACTGCAGAGGAGGCAGAGGAAGCAACAACCCAGCCTCCCTGTCCCTAGATCAGCATGTGTCCAGAGGGCACAGAGCTGTACCACTGTACCTATGCACATAATTGGAACCCAATCAACCCCTGCTCAAGGAGCCCCCTAAGGCAGCAAGACCTACCAAAGGGCCTTTGAAAACCCCCCAAAGATTTAGAGACCTGAAGGATAGACTGAGATCTACCTCCAAACCAGGCCAGGGACAGACTTTTTTACTGGAAAAAACACACACGGACAGAGGCCCTAAGACTGCTTCCCCCGACTGTGACAACTAGCTTGTGGACAACTAGATGATATTGATGAAAATGCTCCTCCCATCTCTTACAGTTAGATGAGTTGCAAGAGGTGATGGACAATATTCTGAAGCTGTTCTGGTCTGGCCTTACTGGTATGTAGAATTTAAAACCTGAACATCTAGAAGAGTCGGTGTCCCAGGAGAGGCACCAGGGCGTGGCCACACTGTGGAGTGTGCCACATCACTGGGCACAAGGTCATCCTATCTGCAGCTGGATCACAGAGCACTCCCTGTCTTTGGATAGGGGCTTCAGCATGTTGAGATGGCAAAAATGAAAACCAAAGCAAAATGCCTCTTCTATAGCTCCTAAAAGAATCTAGTGCACTAGATGTCTTTGGGATCAATGTCATCATGATGCTTAAAGGAAACATGGACCCAGATCACTTGGGGTTCAACGTAGTGTAGATAACACCAAAAGAGGAGAGCCTAACCTGACTCTTTTGGTTTCTTAAAGTACTGAGGTGGTGCTTGCCTGCCTGTTACTTAGCATCCATATTGGGATATCTGCCAGGTTTCCACCTTGGTATTACACATTCACTAGTGTTCACGTTGGTTCTGGAGTCTTCTCTTCTTTGCTACCTCACTCTCCCCCCACAACAGACCTGGCGGGCAGGGGGGGGACGGGAGGGGGGCTATGTAGGTCTTTACTTAAATCACCCCACTGAATGGGCAGGGAAGAGATTTCTCCTAGAGCCATACACTGCCCAGAGATCCCTCCAGCAGACTACGGCTAAAGCAACCCAGTCCCAGTGATTGTCCTGTCAACTCACACCATAAAATGGTCCTTCCTTATTGCAGAACAACTTCAACAATGGAATATACCACCAGGAGTCATCCCAGACCTTCTAGCCAATTGCAAGGTTATGGTGCTTAAATCGGTAAGAGAGAGAAACACAGGTATTTTCCTTTTGCTAACGCCCACTCCGTGCTTGGATCTTCAGAGAAATCAACAGGGCCAGTGAGGCTGGGCTTCACGGTGCGTTCCTGTAGCCCTGTCAGCTCCATCCACACTCCCCACAATCCCCTCATCAGAATTGCTGCCCATTGTCCTTTCTGTTGCCGTACAAGTCCCAACACTAAGTCACCCTTGATCATAAGTAATCAGACAGCCTGTTCCATCGTCCCCAACAGGACCCTCACACTTACCTGAATACATCTCAGGCGTTTCCTCAGAATCGGCCCCACTCCATACACCCACTCATCCTCACTGTCACCTTCGGCCTTGCTGGAGCTTCTTGTTCCCTGCCACCATGACTCACATCTTTCTTCCCGTCTGTCTAATCCTGAACCCAGAATCAATTGGAGGGAGAACATGCTTCCTGAAAAACAGCTAAAATAATGGGATGTTTATTCCACTTTGTCACAAATAGAAGGTTAAATGATGAGGATTAATCTAGGGAAGATACATGAGACATTAAAGAATTTTAAAATCTCCCCAACCCTTAGATGCTCCATTCTTCATCAATCTGCTTAATGAGACCGAAATATGACCAAGAAAATGTCAACTTTCATTTTGGCTCAAACCTCAGAAGTTATACATTCCTATTTTTACTTAACCCCCAAATTTCCTCATGCCTGTGGCCAAATCAATTCCTAGAGTGCAGAGGGTGGTAAGTCAGCAGCTGCCTCCGTGTGAGCTTTCTGCCCTCAGCTCTTACACTCTGTAACTACCAGAGGCCTTGGGCACGTCACTTGCCACCCCCAGCTCGGCCTTGAGTCGAGGGGTCTGATGAGATGAATGCCACCTGTGGTGCAGCTACAGGTGACAGAAAGCCCCGCCAAAACCAGCTTAAGCAATGATAAAAATTTTAGGAACTGAACATCCAGGGATGGGGTCAGCTTCAGAAGCTGCTTCGTCCAGGCTCTAAACTGTGACGCCAGAATCAAGCTCTTCGCTCTACTATTTCTGGATGGGCTCTGTTGTGCCTCCACATGGAAGCCCTCCCTCAAGGAGCTTCACTCTCTACTTCCTTCCCTGACAGTTCAAACAACAATCACCCAGAATTCATCTCTGGGACTCCCACTCGCCTGCTTTGCTCCATCTCCCCATCCCCGAAGCAGACGCTGCAATCAGGGGGCAGAGTGCAATGGTTGGCTCAGACTGGCCCTGCAGCCAGCTGATGTATTTAAGTGCATAATTGTCTTTTCTTTCTCCACAGACGGATCTTCAGGCAGCAAAATAAACCCAGCGTCTCTGAAGCCAGGCAATGCTCCACAATGAAAGCAGAAACACTGTGCAATACTTTAATATGAAATTTTATGCAGAGGATATCCTTATGATTAAAGAGCCAAGTAGAGTTAGTATTCTTTAAATGTCAATTATCCTTTGGAATTTCAGCAAGTACCTTGAATTGACAAGTGCAAGAAAGGCAAAAACTCAGGGATTTTTGACAGTTTTAAAAATCTCTTTAATAAATAACCTGTTTTCATGCAAAAAAAAAGGACTCACTTGTCTTCAATTCCTGCAAATAGGAATTTCTTCCTAAGTTCATGACTAGTAAAAGTATTTCCTTTGGGACATAATAATTAATATCAACGATGAGGCAACAAAGCTCACTATTATCTAGTGTGCTAGAGGACAATTAATTAACAACAATTAAGACTGTCTTCCCCTGTCTCTGCTATTCCCCTCGCCAACTCCAAATGCTTTCATTTGCATGTTGGCCCAATGTGAAAATCATACAGGAGTTAGAATCCAACTTTTCCATGGTAATAATATGTGTAGAGTTTGTTGTTTAAGTACCTGTCTGGGTGTATAGCTAGGAGTGAAATGGCTATGTGATCTGTTCATTCTGTGTTTAATGTTTTGAAGAATAGCCAACCTGTTTCCTATAGTAACTGAACAATTTTTACATTGCCTCCAGCAATGCATGAGGGTTCTGATTTTTCCATATCCTAACCAGTGGTTGGAGGGTGTTTAAGTAGGTAGAGTATGTGTTTTATAAAGCGTACCCTGGGTGCCAGGTGGAGAATGGATGATAGGTGGCAAGGGCAGAAGCAGAAAGCCCAGTTGCCATGGTGAGTGACAATGGTGACTTGCTCTGGGATGGTGATGGAGAGGAATACATAGACAGGAGAGATGCCTTGAGGCAGAATCCACAGGGCTTGGTCTGTTGGTGACAGTGGGACAGGCATCAAGAATGATTCCTAGAAAGGAAAGGTGGGTGGATGGTACTACTTACCACGGTGGGACTGACTGTGCAAGGTACTGGCCTGACTATTCACAGGTCACAGTGAATAGTCACTAGTACGGACTATTCACAATAGGCAAAGGTGTAAACAACTCAAATGTTCATCTATGGATGAATGGATAAACAAATGTGTCATACATTGCAATATTATTCAGCCAGAGAAATTCATGAAGTACTGAATAAATGCTATAATGTGGACTGAATCTTGAAAACATTATGCCAAATGAAAGAAGCAAGACAGGCCGGGCGCGGTGGCTCACTCCTGTAATCCTAGTGCTCTGGGAGGCCAACGCGGGTGGATTGCTCAAGGTAAGGAGTTTGAAACCAGCCTGAGCAAGAGACCTCGTGTCTACTATTATTAGAAAGAAAATTAATTGGCCAACTAAAACACATAGAAAAAATTAGCCGGGCATGGTGGTACATGCTTGTAGTCCCAGCTACTCGGGAGGCTGAGGCAGAAGGATCAGTTAAGGAGTAAGACTCTGTCTCAAAAAAAAAAGAAAAAATTAGCCGGGCATGGTGGCACATGCCTGAAGTCCCAGGTACTCGGGAGGCGGAGGCAGAAGGATCGCTTGAGCCCAGGAGTTTAAGGTTGCTGTGAGCTAGGCTGATGCCATGGCACTCTAGCTCGGGGAACACAGTGATACTCTGTGTCTCAAAAAAAAGAAAGAAATATTTGGAACTAGATAGAGGAGGTGGTTGCACAACACTGTGAAAGTAATAAATGCTACTGAATTATTGTTTCCTTTAGAATGGTTAATTTTATGAGAATTTTACCTCCATTTATAAAACCAAAAAACTTTCCAACCCAGAGTAGCACCAAGTATACCTAGCACCCAGATGTTGGTTTCTAACACCATTCTTTTAAATGCTTCCTTGGAGAAATGTTTCATTCCAGGACTAGACAGGAAATATAAAAGATGACCCCAGAACATCTTATAGCCCCTCAAAGTAAGGACGTGCTTTAAAAAAAATAATAAAATCACAAGGATGGATGTATTTCAAAGGGACATAGGGCCAACTGACAGAGCTCCCAGAGGCCAGGGTTGGAACAATTTGACCAACAAAATAAAGCAGTATTGGATTATAACCCAAAGTATAAAATAAATATTCAGCAGTCTCTACTGATATAGATGATTTTTTTTTTTTTTTTTTTTTTGAGACAGAGTCTCGCTTTGTTGCCCAGGGTAGAGTGAGTGCTGTGGCATCAGCCTGGCTCATAGCAACCTCAAATTCTTGGGCTCAAGCAATCCTTCTGCCTCAGCCTCACCAGTAGCTGGGACTACAGGCATGTGCCACCACACCCAGCTAATTTTATATATATATACACACACACACACACACACACACATATTTAGTTGTGCAGCTAATTTCTATTTTTATAGTATATTTATATTATATTTATATTTTTTATAGTAGAGACAGGGTCTCACTCGATCCTCCCGCCTCAGCCTCCCAGAATGCTAGGATTACAGGCATGAGCCACCACGCCCGGCCTCATATAAACTTTTTAAAGACATAAGTGATGGAGTTAATCTTTACCTGTAAGTTTTGAATTTATATTATTTCATTCAATAGACAAAACCATGTTTTTCCTACAAATAGTTTTGTATTGGGGGGATGTAAAGGAAAGCAGAGTGTTTTATCATGGTTTCTGCTTCAGTGACTTTATTGACAGAACAAATTAAAAGTCAACTCTTAGCCGGGCTCGGTGGCTCACGCCTGTAATCCTAGCACTCTGGGAGGCTGAGGCGGGCGGATTGCTCGAGGAGGATTGCTTGAGCCCAGGAGATTGAGGTTGCTGTGAGCTAGGCTGACGCCACGGCACTCACTCTAGCCTGGTCAACAAGCGAGACTCTGTCTCAATCAATCAATCAATCAATCAATCAATCAATCAATCAATCAATAAATAAATAAATAAAAGTCAACTCTTGCCAGGGGAAAAAAAAAATATAGGTCCATGAGGCAAATCTTCAGGTAAAATACATAGAATAAAGTGAGGCAATAGTCAGCTGAGTCTATGGCATAAAATGAAAACGTCAGAAAGATCTAGAGTGGTTCTTCCCAAACAGCTCTCCCTACCTTCCTCTCCTTACCTCCTGGGTTCCAAGGGAGAAAACCAAAGAGGTAGCAGTGTCCGCAGCAGGAATTGGGTCAGGAAACACTTAACTCAAAGGCCATAGGGAAAACCCCAGAAATACTAACCAATGTTGGGGGCTGATTCTGGTGTTATGCCTTATACTAATCATTCACTATAGTCTGTAATGTACGTTTGCTGCCTGACACAGCAGTAGTCAGCATTTTCTTCAGACACAGTTGCTGCCTTGTGACTTGATAAGAGGCCTGAGTTGTTGCACATAAGCAAATGCTCCCAACTCCCACATGGAGGGCCCCCGTGGTGGGAGTCTGGAGGCCATGAGAACAAGAACAAGAAGAACTCTCCCAAGAACTGGCCCCCATTTGATGATTGGTAGTCAATCACAGGTAAGACTCCCCATGGTGGGGGCGACCTAAGACAGGCACAACCGTGGGGGCCAGGGAGGAGCCGCTGCCTGGGATTGAGACCAAGAAGTACTTCAAATGGCTGCATTGTTTTATGTTGCCTATCTCGGCCTTGGCTTTTGAGCTCTGCCCGGCACCTTAACTTTAGTAACCGTTTGAGGTCTGAGAACATGGGAAATTGTTCCCTTTTGAAACAACTCCGGAATTGACTGATATCGCTGCTATGCTCAGATGCTCACATACAAGGAACTAAGACTTGGGTCTGAGGGGTATAAAAATAAAGCAACCGGTGCATTGGTCACTAGAGTCATTGTCATGTCCTTGTGCGACTATGTCGTTATTTTATGTTCTGTGTTCATCCCCCGTCCTGTAATCGGGCCACATCAACTTAACTCAAAGGCCATAGGGAAAACCCCAGAAACACTAACCAAGGTAAAAGTGAAAAAGAGACCAAGGAGCCACTTGAGGTAAATTAATGATTATAAAAGCTGTTTATGTTTATGTAGCAGCATTTTCCATTTGACATAAAGTTGCTTCACCACTTGCAGCTTATTTTCACAGCTTCAGTACATCTTTCATTAGTGACCAGTAATATCTGCTTTTCTGCTGAGAAGGAGTGCTCAGGTCAACTCTAAGGCCATCCACTCAGGTCAGCAATTGGCTGAGAAGTCCTTCAGGGTGGTCCTGCAGAGAACACGTCCTCTGAGTGTCTGAGAGCTGGCGGAGGTGATCTGAAAGGAAACCAGTCAGAAGAAGACAAGGTAACCAGGACTATACCACAGGGACTTAATACAGAGCCTCTAGACAAGAAGTCACTAAAAGAAATCTGATAGAGGTGACAGGCCAGCAGAGACTGCATGCTCCTATATGTCCCCCATTCTAGGAAGAAGAGATGTCTCATGGAATAGTAATGCATATAATGTAAGAAGTCAAAAATAGCTCAGTCCCAAACAGCCACATCTCCCTTTTCTCCAGGAAGATGGCTCCTCCCCAGCTCTATCCATAAGGTTCAGGTATGAGCTGCCCATCAAAGACCCTGCCCTTCTAACCCCAAGTCAAATCCTTCCTTACGGTATTTAAGGTGAAAATTTGGTGAGAAAGCTTTTCTTTCCTCTCTAATTGACAGCTGAAAGGATCCTAAAGTTACCAATGGTCACATTTCTTACCATGATAACAATTCCATCCATTAGTAAATATTTACTGAGTGCTTATTACATACCAGGAATTGCGCTAGGTGCTGGAGATCCAGAGAGAAACAAAACAAATATTTCTCCTTCCCTCAAAGGAGCTTCAGAAGACAAATAATAAATATGTAAACAAAGATGACTCCAGATACTGGAAAGTGCAGTGAAGATAAAATGGTAATGTGTAAACAATGATGAGAGTAAGGCAGGGAAAGCTGCTTCGAAACTATAATGACCAGGGAAGGCCTCTCTGAGAAGGTGACATTTGAGAGAACCTGAAGATTAAAAAGGCAGCAGCCAAACACAGATCAAGAGCCTCCAAAAAAGAACAGCATGTGCAAAGTCCCTGAGAGTAGGATCAGCCCTGAGGGGCAAAAAGGAGGCCACTAAGGCTAAAGGAGCAAGAGTAAGAAGGGCAAAGGTACCTGGGACAATCACATAGGGCCCTGGACACTCTGCAGTTCATGCTGAGCCAATGAGAAGCCACTGGAGGGCATAAGGAGAGGAGTGAGTGATCTGATTTAGAAAGGTCACACTGACTGCTACGGGGCAGACAGAATAAAGGAAAGCAAGAATGGAAGCAGAGAATGTGAAGCTTCTGGAATTCTCAAGTACTGCTCATATAAAATGGTACAATCACTTTGGCTATTTTTATTCTACATACTCTATAATCCAGCAATTCCAAGCCATATACCCAATAGAAATGAATATATATGTGCACTAAAGCATATGTACAAGAATATTCATAGCAATATTATTCATAATAGCTCCAAACTGGAAACCGAAATGGCCATCAACAGTAAAATGCACAAATAAATTGTGGTATATTCATATAATATAGATAAATATATCACGGATGAATCACACAACATAAAGTTGAGGGAAAGAAGGCAGGCACCAAAAATATATAATGTATGATTCAATTTTATATCAAGAACAGGCAAAACTAAAGTATGGTGTTAGAAATCAGGAGAGTAGTTAACTTTGAGATGTAGGGAAACAGAGTGGAAAGAACATAAGAGTAGGTTTCTGAGATTCTAAAAATATTTGATCTCTTGATCTGGGCGATAGTTACATGGATAGGGTTACTTTGTGACAATTCATCAAATAGTAGACTTATGACATTGGTAATTTTCTACATTTATAATATATGTCAATAAAATAATTCATATTAAATATATAGAAGCAGAAGACTAGGGAAGAAGCAGCTACAATCTCCCAGGAAAGAAATGATAGTGGCTTAGAGATAGAATGAAATGGTCAGATTCAAGATAAATTCCACAGAGAGAAATCAAAACAGAGAGCCTACTGATACAGGAAAGTGAGTAGCTAGAAGTTTCTTCTGTTTTTGGCTTGAGCAACTGAGTGGTGCCATTTCCTCAGGTGGGGAAGGAAGGCTTGAGAAGA